TATCCAACAACTAAAAGATACAGGACTTAACCTGCAAAATATTTCATTAGGGGCAATATAGACATTCTTTAATAGGAATAGTTGCTGCCAACTCATCTGGCAACTTTCTGGTAAAGATTTTATGTACGTCTAACACTACCCGGTGGTAATTGTGACCCATTAACTTAATAATTTGTAATGAATAAATAAGTTGTAACCAATAAAAGTTTTGATTTTGTGACCATTGAATAATTTGTGATCAATAAAAATTTTGATTTGTGATCAAAAATTAATTTGTGACTAATTAATTAGATATTTTGTGACCATAAAATAAGTTGCGACTTATAAAATTTGTGACCAATTAATTTGATAAATTTGTGATTGATAAATAAATTGTGACTTATAAAATTTTTGATTTGTGATCATTAAATAATTTGTGACTTATAAATTTTTTTTATTGTAACCGATAAATAATTCGTGATCAAATTGAATAGAATTGTCACCTTAATATATTTAATTAATAAAATATATGTTTAATAAATTAGTTTATAAATAAAATTTAAAAAAAATTGATTTTTGATATTTTGAATTTTGATTATTAATTTTGAAATGTGTCATACTTAATTTCTTATATATAAATTTTTCCTTGATGAAAAATGTTGTTTGCTTTGGTTGTTTAATTTTCATTTTAGAAAATAAATTCCACCTAAATAATAGTATATGGTTGTTTTGGACTCATCGTCTATTCAATAGACATCCATATCACGTTTGATTAAATGCCCGTATATTCATTGAAGACGTTATTAGTATTATGAGTCAATAAATAATTTTCTTTGTCGAAATCGAAATAAGTAAATTAGTTTGGGTAGTGAATAACAGTTACTTTCAAAATAAATATTTTTTTGTTGAAAACTTAAAAAAAATAAATTAAAATGAGAATATACTTGGAAGTAATTTTTAAGCTTTGGAAAAGTGCTTTTTAAGTTGATCCAAAAAGCAATTGAAATCATGGCATCCAAGTAGGACGCATTACAAGCCTTAGTCGGCATCCATAAAACCATATCTTCCCCTTTTAAGGCAACTACTTTGCTACTTCCCCAACATTAATCCCTTGTGATTGCTGATGTATTTGCATCAATCCTTTTATGAAAAAAATATTCTTCATCTCCCATTAAAGTTTCTATAGCTACAATACAAAAAAGGATAAACTCCGTGTATGTTTGGCCCTCATTTTTTATATCTTATTTTTCTTTAAACTCGTTTTCAACCACACGATTCACGAGACTCACATTTTTTTTT